AAAATGGCTATTCTCGTAAAAAATACACAGATGTTCGCCATTGTTTAAGAAATACATATTCATGTCAATATATTTCAAATAAAGTAAACAATCCAATGTCAATGTTGCTTATTTCCCTTTGAAAATATATATGTATAATGATCATTTCTATATTGACATTCAATGCATTTTAAAATTATATGTTTAACCAACTTATGTAAAAACGGAACAATTACATTAGCGTCTCCGGAAGTAATTATTTCTAGATACAAGTGGCGGTATTGCTTGTTCATATACTTCTTATTTAACAAGGAACCGTAGCACGAAGACAATTTGCCCACAAGATAACAATTTTTATTCGGATGAAAACTATCAAATATGCGATTATTAATATTATCTATTATTCTTCGTGTTTGTTCTTTTATTGGGAACCTAATTTAGAGCCTGTGGCCCGGTTAATTATGCACTTTTACATACTGGTAATGAAGTATCTTTAAGTAAATGGAAACTATAGTGTAACTTTATATGAGTTAATAAAACTTGTAATTATATCACTCGCAGTTAGTAAATGTGTTGTTTTTTGTTGTTGTTTTTTCATTTCCTTTTTCATTTGTAAAACAGTCATTTGTATTATATAGACAACATAAAAAGAACTGTCTGGAAATGTTTGACCGTACCACACTATTGTAATATCGATGTCAGAATTATCCTAATATTGTCATGCCAAGCACGTGGCTGCAACCACATTACTTAAAGTATGACGCGAGTATGATGGAATAATCTGACAATGAAGTTGTCATTCTATTCTTTACTTCATTTTCAATTTAACAATTTATTTGATTAGTTGGTCAACACAAAATAACCGTATTTGTAAATATCAATTTTACTTACATCATTTATAGAGCGTTTGCACCCATGTGTTTCAAGAACACCGATTTGAAAATAGAAATTTCTTAGTAATGTTTTCTTGTCTTTAATTAAAGGTCCAACGTTTGAGTTTTTTTCACCACTTATGAAATACTATTTTATGATGCACACCTGATGCACCAATTAAAGATTGACCATTCAATGGATAAAAGAAACGCAAATACGATCATTTATGCAATTTTAAGTGGAACATTTTACATAATCAACACTGACGTGTCAGATTGTTTTTTACACTTATCGTATAAATGTTCGCGTTGCTTTGTGTTTTGTTTCGGTTTTAAATATCATATTTTTATCCGAAATATGTTTTTTGTCAAGCTCAGGTACATGTAAATACATACTCAACATCATTTTACGAAGAATTTTAAACCTCTTTAGAACATGTAATAGCCAATTTAAAAGCACGAGCACAGCCAACATTGAACTGCTCTGAACTGTCACCAAATCTCACTCCAGAAATTGTCTTAGGGCATATCAAATCATTAAAAAAGCAATAAAGCTCTCTCGTTCGATATGATCTGCAATGTGCATATAAAATACGGTGGCCATAAGTTATTAACTACAATAACAGAGTTATTTAATCTTATAATACAGACAGGAAAACTCTCCCAAAATGTAAAATGGGTATGATTATACTTGTATTCAAAAACAATGGAAAGCCAAGAACACAACCTATAAATTACAGACCGATAACACTCCTGCCTTGGATTTATTAACTCTTTGGAAAAAAAATTAGGTATAACTAGTAAAATTTGGAGACTTGTAGTTGACGCACACAGAAATATATATAGTTGTGTCGCTACTAGAGGCCTTCAGTCTACGTTCTTACCAGTAAGACAAGGCATTAGACTAGGCATTAGACAAGGATGGACGATCTCTACTTGACTATTTAAATTGTTTATAGATGATTTGATATACGAAGAAGAAAATAGTGAATTAGGATTAAATATCCTTCATCTTTCTGTAGGGGCGACAACTCTTGCAGACTACATAGCCCTTTCAGCTACTAACCCCACCGGCCTTCAAGAAATGCTTAATATTATACATTAATATACATGTAGATACAGGTACAACATAAACCCACTGAAAAGTAACATTTTAGTATTTGGTAAAAAAACGAAAAACGCATCAGGTTCAACTATTAATAGGAGGTTGTCCTATTGATCAGGTTCATCGGTGTTAAACATGTAGGAATCTTCCTGAATGATAAACTAAATGACAAAACAAGGTCGAACGTGCATGCGAAAAAGCAAAAGCATCCCTTTTTTCTCTACTATCACTTAAAATAGACTCGGTTTCGCTTATTTCAAAAATGTATATACCTAGATTATTGTATGGATGCGAATCGTGGTCTAACCTTAATAACGGACTATAAACGACTTTATAGATTTGTTAGACTAGCTGCAAAAAAGATACAAGGGTTCTCTGTGCTAACACGAACGGATATGTGTCTTAGCATTTTAGGCTGGAAAAATATTGAATCTGAAATAGAGCTTAGGAAACTAGGGTTTTTAAGACAATTATGTGACACGCCAAACACAGTTTAACAAAACATGTGTTCAACGTGAGATTATCAATTTATGTATTACCACAGAAAAAAATCAGCGTGGTTTGGTCCCAGATACTGCAACTATTCTTAGAAAATATGGTATCTCAGTGTACTCAATAAAGTAGTGGTGTTTTTCCGTCAAAATAGTCATGGAAAATATTATGCAAAATAAAAATAAATATTTTTGAAACAAAAAAATGGACGCTGAGGATGATTAATGATGATGACTTTAATAGATTTTGTTTTTTACATACAAACATAGAGAGGTCAATTCTATGGGAATGTTCTTATAAATGTAAATACTCGTGTACTCAAATTATCTATATCTATTCGATAATTCTTTTGAGTTTTAGTATAAAATTCAGATTTCGAAGTAAATGTTATTTTCACTTTATATTTTCATGTTGCATTTGATCTGTACTTAACCAATATGTTATGCCTGTTATTACCACCAATGTTTCATATTTATGCAAAACTGTTTATATGTTTATTTGTTATTTTTCACTTTATAACATTGGTCATTTAAATGTGGATATAAAGAGTGTATATAGATGGTCATGTTCAATTTGTGAGTTAATTGATTTAAAAAACTGTACCTAATTTTATGAACATTTAATATCATTTTTGATACAGCAGAAACATGTTATCACTGCGTTTTTATAGGTTTGATTACAAAGTGTGATTTACCACCAACGTTATAGTAATGTACAAACATAATGTTTCTAGTTTGATCTTTATCAAAGTACTAAAGCCTGATACACACAGAACATTACTCTTGTAACATTTAACATGCAATTCACTTTTATCAATGTCCTTCCAAAAACGTTTATATTTATTTTCAAAATTGTCTGTTTGTTTACTTTGTTCTCTATATCTTACGAAGATGGAATCATAATCAAATATACATTTTACTCTATGTAACTAAATGGATAGAAATATATATGTATGTGAAAAAATAGTAATTTAATTATTCAGAAGAATTTTCAACAGCAACCAACATTAGTCAAGTTTCCCTTGGGAAACTAAAGTTATATATTTCATTTATTTCTACAATCGTGCCAGTAAACTGAAGTAAAAGCCCTGTTTTGTTTTCCAATATAGCATATTGCATTTGATTAATTTTGGTAATAAAAGCTCCTAACTTTGCGACAGATTGTTAATTGTATTTACTGATTTCCTTTCAAACACAAATTGGTAATTCTAATCTGAAACTTGATTATCTTTCTTTAAGGAGAACATAAACATCAATTAGCACTTATAAAAATCATTATTAAAAAATTTTAAGGGAGGGTTATTTTTTATATATTTCTTATCTAGGGCAAATACCTTATCTTTTCTTTGTCAACTTTTCATGTAAAGTTACTAAAAGTACGCAATACTATGTTGATGCTAAAATCAAATTAATGGATATAAACCATGCATGTTAAGTTGATGCGAACGAGATTGTCCAGATACTGTGGTGTAAGATAGCAAAATAGAGAGTAAGAAAAATTCGAAAAATATGTTGTCTCATATATGCCAAACAAAAGTGCCACTTTTCTTTTATTTTATAAAGTATATATGTTATGAAGTATAAGAAGCTGGGTCATATGGCGGCTGATTTCTGCCAGTTTGTGTCTTCGTGTCTTCGCCTCTTAAAAGTCGAAGGCAAGACACGAAGCCACGCTAATATGCTTATTTATCGTGTCTTCGCCTTCGAATTTTGAGTGCGCCGACACGAAATCAGACACGAAAGATTTTAGGCGAAATAATGATATTTTAATAGGAGAAGACACGAGATCATTTTCTGTGAAAGGATAGAAATCTTTGTATCGGCGCTCTTTATTTGTCCTGTCGCCGTATCTTTGCCTCAATATGCAAATGTCGAAGACACGATAAATTGCAAATTTATCAAGTCTTCGTGACGGCATGCTATTGCCTTGAAAGACAAAGACAGGATAAACTGTGCAATTATCGTGCCTTTGCCTTTTTATAAGAAACCGCCAACATGATAATTCTTCAGAAGTACATCTTGCGTATTCGCCTATTAAAATATTGTTATTTCGCCAAATATGTAACGTGTTTCATTAAATTGCGCCCATTTTGTGCCCTACGTGCAAAAGTCGTGGGCTTCGAAGTTTGAGGGGCGAAGACACGACACGGCAGAAATCAGCCACCAAAGGGTCAGAATTCGGACGACTGTGTAAGGTTAATATTATGTTTTTTTTTTAAATGACAGATAAGTGTGCATGTTAGTACTTTTTTTCATTTTCCCTTTTTCTTATTAAAGTCGCAATCCTACTGAATGTTTATGAATATAATTATTTAACAAAAACCTTTGTTTTAAAAGTAATCAAATGTTTACTTTGCAAAACACGATATTCGAACCAGACCAAAAAACTAATCGTACTAATACAGGACATGATAAAAAGTCAAAACACTAAAAAACATTTTTGTTATGGTTTATATATAATGATACTAATTTATTTCAAAGTTTATATGCACGGAATGGACAATGAACTGACAATTTATTATACTCGGCTTAAAATATACTTAAACATATTAACGGTATACAAATCTTTGGGATAACTAGGAAAGCAATATCGATAAAAAAACAGTGAATTATTCCATTATCAATACACTCAGGAAAAATGTTTGTAAATTCTTAATTATTGAAAATCAGGAAATGAAATATGATAAGAGGATTTTCCCATTATTCACGAGAAGAGACTTTCTAGAGACTGCAGTATTATGAACTGGAAAAATTATTATTTATAATAAATTTATGATTTTATACTAAAATCTGATAATTAAGTGTTTATTTGTTAAAAGCATCCTCTTGTTTTTTGAGCAGTTATTTAAAGAAAAAAAACGTGCTAAAAGCAGATTTGTTGAAAACCATTCTTACAATTAGATATATATTTCCGTTTGTAAAACCATATATTTATATCCACATCGTCATTCCCTGATTCTTTTTATTAATTTGATTGTGTTATGACCCACATAAAAAATTATATTACGTTTTTCTTTAACGTCAAAATCATGTCATTTTGTCAACAATTCGTGGAAATAATACAAGGTGATTGTTTTTAATCAATTGTGCATCGAAAACAATAGGGTTTTATGTCAACGAAAATCGTCAAATTTTGACGTGCATCTGTTCACAAAGATTAAAATCTAAAAGAAATTAATGACACATTTCAGTAACGATCATGACAACATTTTGCAGGGTCAGTTTTAATAGTCGAAGACGGCTGTTCATTTAGCATTTTAAAGCAGCTGATTGATAATGCGGAGGTAATAAAATCTCCGGTTTGACATAATGTTTTTTATGTTCATGTCCAATAAAGTAATCGAATTCGAGTGTCATGTATTACAAAGTATTATTTCAGATACTTTAAAATTAGTTGTCTTTCGCATCTGCTAGTTGAAAACAATAATGTTTTAATAATATCAAGTTATTTGCTGCAAACAACACACGTTAGCTCACGACCTTGGATATATGGCGGGCATTTCAATGTACCACATATTCCTTCTACAAGGTAAATAACCCGTCCATCTGTGTTGGCTACTCCGCCAGCAAGCATTTCAGCATCACTATCCAGACATATATATTCAGAGGCAGACTTATGACCATGAGCACCAGAAACAAGATATCCGCTAAAGTATTGAAATTCAGAATAAATTAACTGCAATAAGGTATCTTCTTAACAGATTTTTAAGATAATTCATAATAAATATCACATTATTCTTTAAAAATAGTTTACAAGCCAGCTGAATAGTTCAATCTCATTCCTACCAAATAATTGTTTCAAATTAAGAAATATAGGCCTGTCCCAAATTATGCAAACGTTTAAATTAAAAATAAAAGTAATCTTAAATGTTTTTAACATCAATGGTAGTACTGCTTTTTGTTCTTGTTATCAAAACATAACTCGTAAGTTGAACATTTTCTTCAAAAGAACATGTTAATCGTATTTTTGTATTAAATGTTCTAAACGTAAGTAATACCTGTACTCTTTTGTCCAACCAGAAAAACACTCAAGACGTCCAGGGAACATTGCTACACTTGAACGCAAAGATCTGCAGAATGAACATGGAGCATCCTCGTCATGTAAATTTTGTTTGAAGTATTTACTGCCCCCATTGTAATGGTACTCACTGAACTGATATTCTGCTCCGTATATCTAAAGTAACAGGAAACATCTTTCTTAAATTATTATTTCATCAATTATCGTTCTTGTGAGATACCCTTCTAAAAGCTTTCGTCCCATTGATCTTTGTTCTTATATTATCAGTCAAGTCATCCCATATGACTGGATATTTAACGGAGTTGCGTTCCAAGATTACCCTTTCTTGCTTAATCTTTATTGAAATATTTTACAGACATAAAAATGTGTTATTTAGATAAACGATTGCCTTAACAGTGGTAGCAGTTTCAAAGTAAATTGGTCAACACTTACTCGTGCACCCGATGCAATATTGTCTTCGTAGTATCCCCATTGTGGTTGTTCCGAGAGACACAACCAGTTCGCTGCACCCCCAGTAGCTATGTTATCTGATCCCGCAACGTAACCTGAGTTATTAAATAAGTAAACAATTTTCGTTCCTATGATATTTTGTTCACAAAAAATGACTACAAATTTTCAATATAGAAAGAAACGTTACTTGTTTCAAGTTTTCACGCATTCATTTGATACTTACTTCGGAATGGAATCTTATTTTATAGCAGTATCTAAAATGAAATAAAAGAAAATAAAGTTTCATTTTAATAAGATAATATTTTGAGTCGAATAAATAAAAGGAATAAATAACCTTTGTAGACTAGCTCATTATCTGTCGGACAGGATGTACGTCCCCATCTGATATACGATGATCCAGAATCTGTTTAATGAATAAATACATTCCACATGATTATTCCTTACAAGTTCAATATGATTTAAGTGAATATGATTTAATTCTTGAAATAATCTAAGGAAGTAAAGTAAAGTAAAGTCAAGTAGAGTAGAGTAAAGTAAAGTCAAGTAAATAGTAAAGTAAATAGTAAAGTAAAGTAAGTAAGTAAAGGAAGTAAGTAAAGTAAGTAAGTTAGTAAGTAAGAAACTAAGTAAATTTTATTAGATTGACATTGTGTTATATACAATATAAGAAACATGCATATAAAAAATTAAAACACCAGGCCATTATTGGCCTATAAGTCACTTTAAAGTACAGACTATTCATATAACTGATTTACAATTAATTCGAAAAAAGCATGTAAAGCATAGAAGAATTAATCGGAAAAACAGTGGTCAATCAGTTTGTAACACTTTATTTTCAAAATATAATCTCCGCAAAACTTACTTTCCTTTACATTATATCACTTGACCGGGAAAAAAGAAAACGTCAGTTTTTTACCTTGATTGTGACTCTTTTGTAGGTATTCAAGCTGTTGGGGGAGAGTTTAACACATTCACTGATAGTTCTAGTTTTAATGAGATTTTTAAAGAAAATTACTTGTAAATATTATAAAGCATTTACCTTGCAATTCACGCCAAAATTTTAATAGCGTTTTGTCGTTCTGTTTTTAATTTGTTTTCATATATTTATAAACATATGTTTGTACTTGTTTGATATTTATTAAAACCAATTATATTTGCATTAACCGGTTTACTCATATTGTTTCAGAATATTTGTGGACAAGTTTCTGCACTAACTTGACATAAAAGGAGTGAACGAATGATGAACATCTGTATAAAATAAAATCTTCTCTGACCTGTATGCTGTAGCTGCGTCTCAAGTGAACTTATTTTCGTTTTCAGATGCTCGACCTGACAAGAAAACAGACAGATTTATTGAAAACGGTATTTAAATATATTATTCTCTGATAACCAGTTTTCCTTTACGAATTTACGAAACAATTGTAATGTTAGCCAATCTAGGCAGACATCTGTATTAAAATTAAATTCAATTATCATACTAGTTTTCTATCAGGAAAAACTACAATTATTAAAAAGATCAAATGTGTTTTGAAACGATCCTGATTGTCATTTATAATGTACATACTTATCATCTGATATATAAGAAAGTGTAACAAACCTCTGAAATCACTGCACGAAGCTCGTCCAAAGCATTGCCTTCAAGTAAAATTCTCTTCTCCACTGAGCGTGCAGGTGTTAGAACTAGGAGAACAAGAACTGTGACACTCTTGCAGTGACTATAATTTATCATTTTTACAGACTTATTGTTAAATTGTACGTCCCTTACTTAATTATGTTCGTACAGTAGCCTATATTTCCCTACAGTTGACAATGATAAGACTGATTAAAGTTTTTGCCAAATAAACAGTTTAGTTAACACCTTTGCTGACATTCAATTTGATGATAAGATGAATCAAAATCCATAGCGCTGAAAGTCGTTTTACTTAAATTGTATAAATTTTAAAAAGAAGAGTTCTGCAAGATCGCTGTTATTTTGCAAAACTTAAGTTGAACATAAGATTCATTTGATTCGTTTCTTTTTAGGTATCTTTGTGTAAAAAGTTGGTATACTACATTGTCCCGTTTGGGAAATTGCAACACACACAAAACTCAAAACAATATAAACACAAAAATACGATGTAGAAAATTCGATATAACGAAACAAAGATGGTAAAATGTCAAAGATACGATAATGTAAAGTCACAAGTACGATTTTGAAAAGTCGAAATAACAAAACTTATGACTGTAAATTAATTATTTTTGATAATACATCATTTGTATTGGAAAGAAACCCCAAAACGATTTGTCATCATGATAGTAATCAAATGTTTTAAGTTGCATAAGTAGTTTAACTTTTGCCATAGAAGGAAGCTATCCAAGTAGCTTACGGAACTTCATTTGATTTTCTCTACAAGTGCCCGCTTAATCCTGAGATACTGAACGAAATATTCCTATACCAGTTAAGGTTGACATCTTACAAAATAGATAAATACAGAATCCCTAAAGAAAGCCCAACACGGCAAAATTGAAAATGTTGCAGGCTCGGTTTGATTGAGCCTGTTCATGGACGGTACTGGAAAGTGCAAGTTACCGTCCATGCCCCCTAGCACCGGCTTAAGCAGAATTCAACATTTAAACATGAAATAGTAAAATTTTGAATTTAGAAACATCCGCAGATGTGTTCATACGGCGGTTATCATGGAACCTTCAATGTGACACTTTCGTGCCATTCCATGAAAAGCGGCGTATGGTCCCCAAGTAATAAAAAGCGTGTGCCCTAAACGAGAAAACAATGGGCGGAACTAAATAAAATGGAATTTTGAAAAGGGATCAGAGGTTATGAAGCCTGCGTATCACAGATAAGACGTCAAAAGACAAATTTAAAAAGCAGGCAACATATCCTAAGGGTGATTCAACATTATTCAAGTCAATCATATAGTTGTTTTTATTATGTTATTTTGGTAATGGCACTGCTGCTATCGTTGATTTAATTTAGTATTAGCTAATGCACGCGATATGACGTCGCTGATGATTAATGAACTTACCTACTTACTTACCTACTTACTTACTTACGTACGTACCTACCTACTTTCCTACCTACCTACCTACCTACCTACTTACTTGTTCTTTTGTTGTTGTTTTTTGTATGTTTTGTTGTTGTCTTTTATTTCTATCTTTTTCAAAAATATATTTCAAAAAGAAATACCCAACCTCATATACTTTTGAAGAAATTTCAACCAATATTTACAGAAACAGTGTCACTAAGTGCTCACATTGCCAGGTTTTCGTTAAAACTTTATGACAGAGTGATGGCCCTTTTCTTTTCCCAACATAATATGTAATAGCATGTTATATCGATATTCCTCTATGAGTAATTTAAAATGAACTTTTATTGAGTTAAACTGTTAAACTGTACAGTTTCTCGCCACAATACCCAATATTAATTACATGTTTTACAAAGTATAGATTATATGTGTTTAGTTCAGTGTAAGATCGGAATATATTTCAACCAGTGAGCATCAAAAGGTCAATTTTACGAGTGGCGCTGTGAAATATAAACTTTTGGTGTTCACGAGGTGAAATATATTTTGATCTTACACTAAACTGACCAAATGTTTTTTATATTATATGCAAAGAAACCTTTTAAAAGACTTTTTAACCTAAAAGTAAATGAAAAGTGCGCCAAATAATAATACAACTTGACTTATATATGACGTCACGTCATTAAGTTGGTTTCCACTACATCTGGGATGTGACATCGAAAGTAAAACCTGAAAGACAGCATCAATATAAAATATATGGACACGTGACAAAAACACATGAAACACATTGTCACGGACAACATTTGTTCGTCAGTGTATACATTGGTGTCTTCGATGTCAGGTGTATGTAAATTGCCTAATAACGATCATATAATCATAGATCATCTACGAACCCTTGCAAAGATAATATTATAAAAATGTGTGTTGTTGTGGTTGTTTATTTTTTGTTTGTCATGTTTTATGTTCACTCCTATACTTTTTTCATCATGTTTGTAAAACAAACAAATTAAATATTTTGAAAGATATATCATGCTGAAATTAAACATTCTAAATACTTATAATGTTAAGATATGGAAAATATAATATAACTGACTAAGAATACATTCATATATTCATATGCATGTGTGAGTGAGATTATTTTGTGGTTATTTATATTGGTGATATTGCATTATAAAATATTTTTTTATATATTTTTTGCTTCGTCTTGGATTACTAATTATTACTTTAGAACTTGGATGTTATAACAATACAATATTAAATAACAATTTAGTTAGAAATCCAAAAGCTTAAAAATGCTAAATTTAAAATATTAATTATGTCAATGGATTTAACGTTCGTATTCTTTGGAACGGTTTTCATGGTAAAAAGAAAAAAAATCAGACCATCGATTTCATACAAAATTTAATTTGTCAACATTATAGTATTAGATGATGTATTTTAAATTGTGACATGTACTTAACTATATAAAGTCTAAATATTAAGATTTATATTTTAATTATTTTATAGCTTATATTTATTATGGAACCTAACTTTTTAAGACAAATGGAGAGCTTTCATCCCCTTATACTTGATGTTATTGAGTTGTTTTATCTGTAAGTTTTTATATATTATACTCGCTTACCACTATCCTTCATGGATGGGCTCAATCAAATCAAGCCTGCAATATTTTTTAATATTGCCTATTTAAGGTGTTCTGTATGTTTCCTTTTTCCATTTTGACAATTGTATAATTATTGACACGATTATTAGGACAGTCACGAATATGCATTAGCTGTCATTTTTGTCTTACATAGTGCGAGAAATATATCATTTATCATGTTTATTACCGTAACCTTTAAGCTTAACATACATGTACATGTATATTTTTAAATCATCATATACTAAGCTGCCTTAAGTGATAAAATAAAAAATAAATATCGGGAAATAAATTTTATGCGAGACGAATATGAACTAAATTGTACCGTGTGTGACATTAAAAGAAATGATGACTTAAAATTCTTTACATTTACAATTGTAGACCAGACA